CATCGGGTTGGTCTCCCGCGCCTTCAGCTTGAATGGATCTGGATCCAAATGGAGCAGCAGGCGGCGCCGCCACCGCCGCCGCCCCCGCAGCCGCCGCACCCGCCCTCTATCCGTGCCACGGCGATAGCGGGCTGTCCTCTGAGGAGGAGGACTCATAGTCGACCCCAAGCAGGTCCCGCCCGCAACTCCGTCTGGATCTGGAGCCGCCGTCGTCTCCACCCTCGACATCGCCGGAGGGAGTAGTTGCCATGGTTGCGCGTGCAACAGAGAAGAGAGGGAGGGGGATGAGAGCACCAGGGCCGGCGCGCTGGGCTTAACTAGCGGGGTCCTAACGGCCGTTTCCGCTTTGCCGTTTGCCCTTTGCCACGTGGCTCCGACAGGTGGGCCCAATAAGTCAGATTCTCAGTTAGTCGCGGCTCACAACACGTTTAGTGGTTTTTGTTACTCACTTGCCGAGGAAGTGGTGGTTTTTTGAAATTTTTGACAAAAGTGGTGGTTTTGCAGTATCCTTGCCACAAATGTGGTGGTTTTCAGCAATTTACTCTCCCTGACACGACATATTGCTTTCTGTTGGTTTGTAGTCCCTCTTCGTTGTTGCGGTGCTCTCTCCGCCATTGTTATGAAGCGGGCGGAAGGTTTATTTAGGAGATGGCCTGGCTCTGAAAATTCCCATCTACACAAGGCTTCTATGGTAACGGGTTTTTATCGGGCCGTTGGTCCGACTGGACCTTAGTATGAAGACTTCTTGATCGTAAGATACAATGCCAGAACTACTTCTATGATGGAGCGCCCGCGGTGGTGCGCCTTTGCCTCATGCTGGAGATTAAGTTTGTTTGCTATATAAGGGTCTGGTTGTATTTTCCTTGGTTTTTGTGATGTATTGCATTGTTGAAAGTTTTTAATATAAACCCGGAGTCTTATTTGCCAAAAAAGATCATATATTGTTTGCTCAATTCGGTTGAACTAAACGCGGAAATAGTGCCACCATAAGAAGGTAAATGTTCTGTGCCGAGTGACCGGTCAAGGCTTGGGCCGGTCACCTCTCTCGGACACATGCGACATGGAGCCATCAACACCGAGTGTTGCGACCAGCACCCTGGCTTGATGGAACCATAATGACAGGGTGCTACGATGGCAGGGCACTGTGTGATGCAGGGATGCTGCGACGGGGGTGTCGTGATGGCCACGACTGTGGTGCACCCTTGTGTTGCGATCGTGTCGGCCGGGTGCTGATACGTCTCCGTCGTATCTATTTTTCTAAACACTTTTGTCCTTGTTTTGGACTCTAACTTGCATGATTTGAATGGAACTAACCCGAACTGACGTTGTTTTCAGCAGAATTGCCATGGTGTTATTCATGTGCAGAAACAAAAGTTCTCGGAATGACCTGAAATTCCACGGAGCGTCTTTTTGGAAATAATAAAAAATACTGGCAAAAGATCAAGACCAGGGGGCCCACACCCTAGCCACGAGGGTAGGGGGCGTGTCCCCCTACCTCGTGGGCCCCCTGGAGCTCCTCCGACCTCACCTCCAACTCTATATATTCACTTTCGGGGAGAGAAAAAATCAGAGAGAAGGATTCATCGCGTTTTATGATATGGAGCTGCCGCCAAGCCCTAAAACCTCTCGGGAGGGCTGATCTGGAGTCCGTTCGGGGCTCCGAAGAGGGGAATCCGTCGCCGTCGTCATCATCAACCATCCTTCATCACCAATTTCATGATGCTCACCGTCGTGCGTGAGTAATTCCATCATAGACTTGCTGGACGGTGATGAGTTGGATGAGATTTATCATGTAAACGAGTTAGTTTTGTTAGGGTTTGATCCCTAGTATCCACTATGTTTTGAGATTGATGTTGCTATGACTTTGCTATGCTTAATGCTTGTCACTAGGGCCTCAGTGCCATGATTTCAGATCTGAACCTATTATGTTTTCATCAATATATGAGAGTTCTTGATCTTATCTTGCAAGTCTATAGTCACCTACTATGTGTTATGATCCGGCAACCCCGAAGTGCCAATAATCGGGACCACTCCCGGTGATGACCGTAGTTTGAGGAGTTCATGTATTCACTATGTGTTAATGCTTTGGTCCGGTACTCTATTAAAAGGAGACCTTAACATCCCTTAGTTTTTGCTAGAACCCTGCTGCCACGGGAGGGTAGGACAAAAGATGTCATGCAAGTTCTTTTTTCATAAGCACGTATGACTATATTTGGAATACATGCCTACAATACATTGATGAATTGGAGCTAGTTCTGTGTCACCCTAGGTTATGACTGTTACATGATGAACCACATCCGGCATAATTCTCTATCACCGATCCATTGCCTGCGAGCTTTCCATATATTGTTTTCCGCTTATTTACTTTTCCATTGCTATTGTTACAATCACTACAAAATATCAAAAACATTACTTTTGTTATCATTAACTTTTGCTACCGTTACCACTACTATCATATTACTTTGCTACTAAACACTTTGCTGCAGATATTAAGTTTTCAGATGTGGTTGAATTGACAACTCAGCTGCTAATACTTGAGAATATTCTTTGGCTCTCCTTGTGTCGAATCAATAAATTTGGGTTGAATACTCTACCCTCGAAAACTGTTGCGATCCCCTATACTTGTGGGTTATCAGGTG